ATTGTGTCCGGGAAGGTGACTATCATAGAATGTCTTGTTAGTAGAACAAAGTGTTCTTGTGTTGAGACTAGCATCTCCTCACCACTGGTGCATTTTTTCCATGCAGACCTAGTACTTTAAAACCCTGTATGGTTTTGAATCAGGTAACCAGCGCTAGATTAGAGTGATTTTAGGCTTTTTGTTGTAAACAGACCTATTTCTGAAGAGACTTATCTGGAGCCAATTTTTAAGCCAGAATGTGAGTATCAGAATCCCGCATATTTATGATGAGGGCTTAATGAGGCTTTCCTGGTCACTCAACTCATTCATTGCTGAGCTGGGCACTTAAAGAGTATACACCTGCCTGCAAAGGCTCCCAGTCCACGGGTTCTTTGTGCCCTAGATAAATAAGAGAATTAGTTGTTTCTTTCTCTGGGCTTTAATTTTTTCCTATTATTTAGAGCTCAATCTATTCCTTTAAGAAAGTGGTGATGATCAATGGCCTCAGCTTCTAAGGAGTTAAGAGAGAGAGAAAAGCACACTTAAAAGGGTCTCATAAAGTGAGTATTGTCATAATTATTTAGTTCCCAGAGAATGTCCTTGTATCCCAGTGAGCGTGAAAAGTATTAGGGTCTAAATGGTGCATCTAGTAAGAGTCTCCTTCTCTGCCTCATTGAAATTCCTCCTTGAGAGAAAATAGACAGGTCCCCTTTTGCCATACTTAGCTGTCGGATGTCTCGTTTGTGCTCTCTGTAGACTGCAATAGCAAGAGTCTAGACCAGTGCAGAAGAAATCTGTGGCTTGGGGATCAGTGAAACTAGTAACTTGGCTTTAACACCCAGTTTATATTAGATCCAGACTTTAGAGACTTGTTTAAACCCAGCACCCAGATAGGAGCACAAAGGAGAATTCACCTCTATTCTTCCTGGTTCCTGGCAGCAGTGTCCCTCATGGAAACAGAGAGTAACTTTATTCCCTGATCCATGGCAAAGCCGAGGCAGGTTTTGGCAAGTTCTTTGCTTGCCACTGCCATTGACATTATGCATGTTTGAGCACTGATCCAAATCAGAACCTCTGACCTGCTCAGCTCTTGGGTCTTGCCACCTCCAGCCCAGGGCAGTGGCCACGGCA